TTGAATAATATCGCCACGCCTCTAGCTCTCACTGCACAAGTAGAATGATAAACTTGCCCTGTCCAACTGCATCTCAGTTTTATGTGTTCATTCTTTTTAAGGTGGGTTTCCTGAAGGAAGATTATGTCGCTGGACAATGTCTTTAGATGTGCTATCTTACCCCTCTTCACAGGATTATTCAACCTTTTAACATCCCATGTGACCAAAGTAACTTGTCCCCCCTTCTTTGTTTGTGTTACATCAACCTGCATAACTCAGATTAAATTGAAAGAGTATAGAATTCCTCACAAGTGTGATAGAGATGATTATACACGGTAAATAAGTCCCATCCCACCCCTTCAAACAAAATGCTTACTGTCTTGCCTATATTAAGAAGAAACTGCAAAGTAAGGTGCGACCCCTCTAAGGAAGTTATGATAAAAGGATAAACAGAAGAATTAAATTAAGCGTAACACTCACACAACAAACACACATTAACCTAAAAACTTCCCTTTCTCTTAACTCCAAATTAGAAGCTGAAAAAGGCTCTGCAAAAATATAAAATTCAAGCACCAAACTGACACATGAGCAGCTGCTGAAAAACATGTCAGGTTATATAAGCTGCCTATTTATAGATATCAGACCACCCTAGATTGTCAACGATATTCAAGGCAGCCAATTATTTAAGCAAAATGAGAGTTCTAAACATTATATAAACTCAGCTGGTTAAACATCACAGAACAGTCCAGGCATTGAGTACTACCAGAACCCGGTCACTCCACGACTGCATCAGTTGTCCGCCGCGGGGTCGCATGCATCATCTCCACCGGCGCCAAAGTGGAGCTCTGCGAACTTCTGGGCTTCCTTCGCGCCTGTGAACATTGTTTCTGTTCCTTTGAAAGTCACTCTCAGCTTTGCAGGATATAAAAGTCCATACCGAACTCCCGGTTTGTCCCAAAGAAGTACTCTGACTTCGTTAAATGCAGCTCTGCGTTTTGCGATCTCGGGGGTGAAGTTAGGAAAGATGCGGATCTTTTGCCCATGGTAGGCAAGGTCCCTCTGAGTCATAACCTTCCAGAGAATTGTTGTAACGTCGCGGTAATAATGGAGTCTCACAACCAACGCCCGAGGAGGTCCTGTGTCGTCTGGGCGCCTTCGTAGAGCTCTGTGAGCGTGGTCCTCCAGCGGTAAGTCATCCAGAGTCAGCATGTCTTTTAGGAGCTGCGAGACGAATCCGTTCAATTCTGCGCCTTTCTCTTAACATTACAATCCATATATTTTGTTGTCTGGACCTTCCTTCAAGGTTCATGTATTTTTCTGTTAACTGATTCATTTCTGTGAATAGACCTTTTACCTCCGACTGTAGCACGGTTACGGCATCTGCTGACTGTAGCCGCTCGTTCTAGTTCAACAATGGATGCACCATGTTGGTCATTGGACGTTTTCAGTACGTGAATGGCATTTTGAGTCTCGGTCTTGAGGGTGAGGAGTTCTCCTCTTGTAGTGAACTAAGCCTCAGGTCAAATCCTGACCTTGAGGGCCTTCC